ACCTTTGCTTCATACACACTTCTCTGTCAGGCGCCATTTTGTCAGACTGCCTCTCTTCTGCAGTCTATAACACAGAAGAAAATGTAATGGAATATTGGCAGGAAGTCCAGCCTCTACTGCCATACCACCATCTGCCTGTGATGTCAGGGACCAACATCTTGAAATAGGAGGCATTACTTTCCGAGCAGCCCTCATTGTTTGTGGAGTGCCCACATTCAGAACGAAATGCACTGAGGTGCAGCAGAGCTGTCTTCCTCCTGCAGAAGCTCAGGAAGTAGAACTGCTGCATGCCTGAGCCCCGAGCACATTGTAAAACAGTGCCAACTGCTTGTAGAGTGGTTCTGAGTGTGGCAGTGAAGTATTGAAGATACGTGTACAAAGCCCTGGGTAGGATGATGGTAAGGCTCCACTCTACCGTGTCCTGTTGCCTTTGCTTTTGGATGAGTGAATGATTTTTCTAAATCTGTCTCACAGCTCCATGATTAGAATAATCTGGATTAGTTGAGAGTCTGTTTGTGGCTGTTTAATCCACCAGAGTACAATATACCTTTGGTAAGAGCGATGAAAGCTCTTCTCAAGATGAGGAAGTTTCTGCTGTAGAGCAATGCTGAGATATCTCCGAGAACTGTAAGGGACAGTTACTTCAGCTGAAATAAATACTCCATTCTCACTGAAGGATTAAGAAGAATATTCCCTACCCAGAGTGCCATCTCCATGCTTGGTGATCCCTGTTAAAGGGAGATACTGAAATAAATGCAGGGACTTGGAAAAGATGAGATTGACGGGTGAATGCATCCAAGTGAGACTACATTAGCAGAGGAGAGGTTACAGCTGTGAACTACACACAACCGTGGCTGAGCTGAGAAGGGACCTCATGATCCATCTGCTCCAACCACTGCTCAAGCAGGGCCACCCAGAGTAGGGTACCCAGGTCCGCTCATACAGAGGGAACTCAGTGGTGATGGGGCTCTCAGGAAAAAGGTGTGTCGTGAGTCAAATGCAGAGCAAATAGGAGGCACGTATTTTAGTGGTTACTGTATTTAAAACTCAGGACTTGTCCAGTGTGGGTGGACTTTAACTAGCCAGTCATTTTGAAATGGAATGAATTTGAGCATCTGTATACTTTCAAAAAGACAGAAAAAAAGAGAAATTAATTTAGGACAACTCTATGGCCTCTATTTTCCAAGATACCTGACTAGCTAATTAAGATAATTTTTTTCTGGTCTTCTTTCCTATGACAACTATTATATCTGTCAGTGTAGAAAGTAATAGAACAGCAGCAACAATAGATATTAGGGTTATAATTCTTGTTTAGTTAAAACATCATTCCCTTTTTATGAGGGTATTATTTAGCAGGTGTCATCTTACTCTTTTTGTTGTTGTTTAGTTGTGAATTCCTTTACGGTATAATGGTACTCTTCACTTGTATTTTATGTGCAAAGGAAAACAGAAGCTATTGAATCATGAAGAGCAGCATAAGTGTGTGGTTTTAACTGTTTATACATAGTTTGACTTCTTGTTTTAGTCAAAAGGTTGATGTTTTCCAGCTGGCTTACTGAGATTCCTGTTGTTCAGCAAAGAACTAATTGCTGAAGGAGATCTAGGCATATGGTTTTTCAATAAGTGAGCTGCAACATTTTATCAGTAATTGGATTTAAATACTCTAATCACTGATTTTTGTTAAGATGCTAATCATGTCCATTGTGTTAGCAAGGATAAAGTAGCCTGAGAATAAAGGGGAATTTACTTTCATCTTAGAGTGATATTTGGCTAATGGTAGCTTGACAATTCATTTCTGCAAAGTAGGTATGTTTCAATCACACACTAAATTATCTAAATCTGTTCCATGTGGTTCCTTAGCACGATTACTGCTTATAATTCGGATAGATGTTATGGTCATATGGTATAGCATATTTTTTTTTTTTGCTGTTTAATTTTACGTTGCCATGACTGTTCTTTTCTTTAACATTTTAAGTTGACTAATAGTGACTAAATGATATTGTAGCTTGACTCTTGCTAATACTGAACTGTGCGAGCTTGCAAATTTTGTGGCCTGTTTTTCATATCTATTTCATAATTAATCTATGAAAAAAAAATGATATTTACATTTTCATAGAATTTGTCAGAACAAAAGCACTGCAAATAGTTGTAGTTCATAACTTTTTCTTTGCTTGTTCTCCAACGCAGATGTCCCTTGGGAAAGCATTTTGCCTGCTTCTTGCTGAAAACAGAACAATTATGTTAGTAAACAACATTTAAGAGTTGCTTTTGAAATATCTTCTGGAGGCATCTTTATTTGAGATAATATGCTTAAATAGAATGGTGAGAAATGGTATATCTAGAAGCATTATGTGATACCAGGCATTCTTTTTGTTCTTTTCCAAATAAGATGAAAATCTATTTATAAATCAGTTCAGAAATCCTGTCTGAAATAGAACGGATGGCTTGACAAGTTGTGACATGCATTGCACTATAATCTGACACAATCTTTTGGGCACACTTCTTGAATATATCGGGCTTTCTGTTTTCAAGATAATTCCAATTAATTACAAATTGTAATTATTTACAAATTGCGAAGTATAAATAGCTATTGCACTGAATTGTCCTTTTCTACTTTAATTTATTTATTGGCTGTACGCTTAAACGTTCGAGACAATGGAGCAGCAATAATGCTGTCTAGACGATGTATTGGTTGTTTAGTCTGGTGCCGTCTGTTGTCAGAGAAAATCTCTTCGTGTGCTAAAGGCTTCAGATTGTAAGGCTTGACATTATAACTCTACTTTTAAATATAGCTTTGCGTGCACGTATGATATATTTCAGCACGTAAAATTGCTTTTGCAGTTCTGATATTTTAGTTAATCTCTCCCTTGTGATCTGGACCATTGGAATAAAGAAAATTAATCTGTCAGTGTTGTGTATCCATTTTGCATCATCTGTCTTAGGTTGGCAGATTTTTTGTTGGCTGTATTAAAAAAGTACATATTTTTTACTCTTTCTGGATATGAACTAAGCTGACTTCACTAAAAACTGAGGATAAAATATTATTTTAAGAAAGTTTATCTTTCTAATTATGTTCAGCGATTTGTAGGTTTATTAAATGAAATTTAAACACTTAAATGTGACTCTTTTTTTTCTCTGATATGCTCTGAAGTTTCTGAGCAGCTTCTTCTGGCTCATTCAGGTGCCCCAGCTAGACTGTGTGCCCTGTAAAAGTGGGTTTGAGCTGCTGGGTATTTCTGTCTGGTTTTCGTCCCAGCACCTCCTTTCTTTCGTGCTGTTTCCTTGCATACGAGGTGGACAGCTTGCAAGTAGAGGGCAAGAAGATTGGTGATGGACGTGTGCTTCATCAGGTGCACAAGCAACTTAGATGAGAATCCATGCTGAGGTGCTTCAAACTAAGTCCAGTTCTTAGCCGTGGCGCACTCTTAGGGGGTTTTAGAAACCTTGTCCAAAACAGAAAGTTGTGGTGTTTAAATCTATATCATCACTGTAATAATGTTTTCTTGGATATGGTTATTCCTGTTTAACCAGGCAGTTTAAAGTATTTCAAGCAAAGACATGCTGGAATGGAAATCTTATCCATGTTTTTCATCAACATAACATATATTAGGTTATATTCATTATCTCGTTCACACCTGCAGGACTTTTAGTCTCTGACTGGAATTCCTGAGTGGGTCAGTGGAGGCTGGGGCGTTTCAGGCTGTGCATATCCTGCTGCTGTCTTCTTCCAAAGCATCTGGCACTAGTTACTCTTCCTACAGGAAGACGGCCAACTTTGTTGTCAGAGCCATTGCCCAGGCCTGTGGTGAATGAGGAGCTCTTGGTTTGAGGCTGAGGCCGGTGCTGAAGACAGGATACTGAATTAAATCATCTTTGGTTAGAGAAGTCATTAAAAGTTACGTAGGCTTGTTGTCTTCCACCTCCAGTCTGCTTTTCTTGAGCATGTATTGGTTTGATTGGAGAAGCCACCTTTCCTTTCTGTATTGTTGTACAACGGGTGGTCAAAGTAAACGTAGGATATCTCAGCTAATGTAGGCAAAACAATAATTATAAGTAAACACCATCCTATGAGTATGTGTTTTGCAGAGCAGGCTATGTGTCATGCATGACAAGATTATTTTCTCCTTCATGTTCCTGAAACTTTTGCCTTTCCTTAAAAGGAGAGACCACCTCTACAGATTTCACTGTCCCAAGTATGCAGGGAGTGGGAGGAAATCCTACATGTTTAATCCAGACAAAACAGGTGTGATGGGAGAAAACTGAGACTGCTTATGTCTTTCTGGGCATTACATCATTGACAATCCTAATTTCCATTTTGTTCATTAGAGTTTTTCATTGCAGTTGTGTTTGTTTTTTTGTTTTTGTTTTACCTCTGTGAACCAAACACCTAATGGGGCCTTGCAGTTGGATGACAGAGCGTGGTATGCTTTGAGATGAGCGTGGTACTGCCCTTTGGAGCAGCTCCATCTCCTGCCTCTCTGTTCAGGAGCGATGTACATGTTGCTTCTAACGAGAAACCTTTGTCTGAGACCATTCAAATAGGAGGACTGGAAACCCTCAGTGTCCTTCACTGATAGTGTGTTGAAAGTGATACATCTGGGTAAGTCTCCCACCTCTAACACAGTCAAGCCTCAGAGGAAACACATTTCCATCATATTTTTTGTCTTTCATGACAGACATGTTAAGAAATCCTGGAAGGATGTGGAAGATTGAAGGATCTTATTCTTTCTTATGTAATTCCTGTTTGTACCGAATTTCTTAGTAGTGTTTTGAGATCTGGTGTTCCTTCTGAGTACAGGTGTAATGATCTTGTCAGCTTGGTCCTCTAATAGAAGGATCAGTCAGACTCAATCATCAACTTAGTGTAAATTTAAAAATCTGTTTTGTGTGAAAAGCAGGAGTTAGAACAGAAAAATGTAGTGCTTGCAACACCTTTAAGCTCTCTGAAATTTTTATTTATAAAAGCAATCTTCTGCGCATTGTTTTTTTTCTCCATGCAGTGTCTTCCATTGCTCCATTGGTTCTGCTGGCTGTGGTTTGTTCTGCTTCTGTGAAATCAAAAGGATTACCATGGGAGCCACAGAATTTTTCATTTATAAGTATGTATTTACAGTCACCATAGAAAGCAGGATTTGATCTGTAGAGGCATTAGGATTAAAAAAAATTCAAATTATAATGGTGATAAAGGACAATATTTCTTTAAACATATTTTAGCATGTGAGCAGCCTAAGGTCTAATAGTTATTTTTCTGGGTAGAATTGCACTTAGAAGCATGGCAAACATTGAATTTCAAATAACCTAAGTCCTTGCTTCAGTGTCTTTTTTTATACTTCTTCCTTTATCTTCACTTTTCGCATCTTATAAGATCATTAATTACAAGGTCATGTCAGTTGCACTTTAAATGCATAATCATACAGACTCTCTAAGGTCTCGTTATGCTAATATTATTGCTAATTATAAAACTGAATCCAGTGGTACATCATTTTTTGAAATGTCATAGGTTGTGAAATAAGGAAATGTTGGAAGTTATGACAGCTCATAAAAGATAAACTATTGCATGATAAGAAGCACATAATTTGGGAATGAAAACTGTATATACTGTGCAAAGGACACAAGAGAGTTCGAGTCATTTTTTAGTTCATTTTCCTTTACCAACCCAGTGAATTGTTTTGTATTGAAAAAAAAAAATAATAAAATAAAATAAAATTAAAAAAAAAGACATATTTTCATACCAGAGAATCTTTTTAAAGATTAAAGGAATTTGTTAGATGCTATAGTATTGACCAGAAGCTTATTTTTCTGGTTATCTTCATTTCTTTCAGTCCATGTCATTTCTAATTAATGAGTTTTAGATACTACCATCTGAAACCACCTGTCTGGTGAATGCCCTGCATTGTTTGCCTGGCGTACAAAAAGCCAGTATAGGTTGAGTGTCTCCAGTGACATACAGAGTCAGCTCTGCACTTGTTTAAGCAAATAGTCAGCTGTTAGCTAATGGATCCATTAGTGAACTTTCTACAGAATATCTTGTAGTCATTACAGCATGAAATTTTAATAACTTCAAATCAGAACTGTTTGAAATATGAGGACCTTTTTCTGCAAAACATTTTTCACATTTCAGTGCTGAAGATGCTACTTCTATGGGTAGAAACTTTGTTGATAATGCTGAGAAATAAAGTAGCAGTGAAATCTTCAGTTTTTTGGTTTGTGAGTCTCAAATTCTTCTTCAGATTATATAGCATGGGACTGTTTTAGGCAAAAAGAAATTTGCAGTCTTGCTTTATTCTTCTAGAAAGTTATTTCACTTGCATTTAGTACCTCATTTAGTATAGAAAGAACAACTCCCTAGAGCATCTTTTCCTTTGTGGCACATTAGAACCTCTCTGTTCTGCAGCTATTAACACTGTGGTGAAATCTCCAGAAGATATCTGAGGAAGTAAGTGATGGATCATAACAAAAGAGAGAGATCAGAATGCCTTCAGTTTGGCCCTAAGAGGAAGATTGTTTTTTTGCTGCTGTTTTTTGATGTTGTTTGGTTTTTGTTTTTTTTTCCTAGTGGAGTTTTTGTTATTAAATCAGTGACAATAAGTGAAGGAAACATGAGGCTCTCCCAGCATAAGGACGTCAAGGTTTCTGAGCCTAATCTCTGTCCCTCAAACCCCTGATTCCAATGGGTATAATATGGGAAGGTGGGAAGAACACGCAGTTCTGAGGCGTATCAGACTGCGGTGCAAGAATGCTAGCTGTTGCGTTGTTGGTTCATTATCCATGTGAGGCTCCTTCATGCCATTGAGAGACCTTCCTTGAAGTGCTCTGAGAAACGGTGTCACAAGGAACCAGTGAATAAGTAATTTCCAAATCTATCAACCTTAAAGAGCAAAGACATTTGATAGAGGAGTGGATTCCCACGTGGTACCAAAGCTTGTGGAAGGGATGGACCAGGCTACATACGCCCCAAGGGAATGGTTTGTCAGTACCTTAAGGTACCGCGTCTCTTGAGGAAAAGCTCACCTGTCTCGGGCTGGGTAAATATCTTTCTGAAATGAAAGCGGGGGAAAAAAAGCCTTGGAAGCCATACTTCTTGATGCATTGAACAGTGTTTTCCATACGATCTAGCGCCCTGCTCTAAAACTAAGTTGGAAGAATAAGAGGGCAGCACTGACTCTTGTAGCTCTGTTTGATAGAGTGCTTCTGAAGGTGCCTGTGTTACTGTCTGCAGGGCTTGTAGAGTACTGAACCATGATGAACTTTTGCCCTTTGTATGACTTCTCCAAATGTCACAAGTCAAAATAATGTCCCTAAGCGCTTGTTTGATGACAATTTCTTTCTTGAGTATGCTTATTGTTCTGTTGATTTTTGTGCGCATCCTGCTAACCTTCATCCATCCTTCCAGTAATCACTTTAGCTACTGCCTCTTGAAAATGTTCTATCACAGGATTGCTTCTATCTAGAAAGCATTGAAAGATATCTGTGGTTTTACTCCTGCCATTCGGAGTGTGGCTTCCTGATAGTCCTCCAGCCAACTCCTTTACCACCCCACCAAACATGCTGGCACATTAATCACTGTCAACAGGAAAGTATTTGTTTCAAAGGAAGAATAAGCTACCAAAGTTATTCTATGATCTAGAATGATTTAACTAAAGGGAATGGACTTGTGGATTCTTCAGTCAGCACTTGTTTCAGTCAGAGGACTGACTTCTGCAAGGCCAACAAAAACTTCTCATCTTTATGTCTGTTTCTAAAAAGAGTTTGGTGCTTCAGAAATGCTATGGCAGAAAGTGATCCTTTAATGTTTTGTTGCTGACCAGACAAAGAGTAATGGAAATAGTTTTAAGTTATTTCAGTTAGTTCAGTTATTTCAGTAATTTTTAATAACAAATGCTGTACCGCAATAACCAAATCCAGCATCGCTACCAGCTGCTTAGGATATTTTCTTTGATCCAGTAATATATTGCAGGACTAAACGGTAATAACATTTTTTTTTCTTCCATACTGTGGGCAGTCATTTTTCTCTTCCCCGCTACTCACCCTTGTGTCATCTTCCCTGTCCTTCCTACAGTTAAATTCAAACAGTGTTTATCAAAATTTTCCACCTATGTTTTTGACTTTCAAAAGCTAAGTGTTTTGCTTCTGCAATTTTGTTTTGTGGGTATGCAATTATCAAAGTAGAAGAACGTTTAAATTTTTGTATGCTTATTTCTGAATGTCTGTCTCCTTGAAGAGCTGATTGAATCTCTGCTGTTAATCTCTTTAACCCCAGAAAGAAGATTACCTTAACAGTGAAATAGCTGGGGAGGGGAGAAGCAAGGGAAAGAGAGGCAAACTGTATTTCTCCAGAATGAATTCAGGTCTTCAATAAGGACTTTTTACTGCAGTGAAGTTCATCAATGGAAACTTTTTGCTGCTAGCCACATAACAGGTGATATTAATTATAATTGCATAATCTGCTGGAGTTGTCAATTACCATGGGACTGGTAAAATTGTTTCTATCTTGTTGTTTTTGTTTTTTTTTAATCTTGAAGTCTTATCAGTCTGTTACAAGTTAACCAAATACCAGAAACGAGAGAGGAAAAGTGTTTGTGGTGAAAATGGTTGAATGTTCTTACTTTTTCCTTCTAATCTGCTTATTAACATAAGTACTTTTGAATCACTCATGATGCTTAATTTTTAACCAAAGGTAGGGAATCACTACTGTTAGCAAACATATTTTCCCAAAGGTTTTTGGACTTGTATTCATAACGAAACTTTGACTGCAGTTGTTTAAAGAGAGTCAAAGAAGTAGGCCTCAAAGTAAGGCAAGAGTTCACAAAAAGCAGTGAAGTGGACAGAAAATTGTGCTTCAATTTGTTTTTGCGATGGAGAACGATGCGTTTTGTGTGTTTGATCCACTTGCCTTGACAATCAATAACTAGCATTTCTACTACAGATTGTAAGGCTTTTTCTCCCAGGTAACAGTGATAGGACAAGACGTAATGGCCTCAAGTTGTACCAGGGGACGTTTAGGCTGGATATTAGGAAAAACCTCTTCTCCAAAGGATTTTGGAGGCATCAGCACAGGCTGCCCAGGGAGTGGTGGAGTCAGCATCCCTGGAGGTGTTCAAGGACCGTGTGGATGTGGCACTGAGGGACATGATTAGTGGGTGATATTAGTGGTGATGGGTTGACGGTTGGACCCTATGTGTGATCTTAGAGGTATTTTCCAACCTTAATGATTCTACGTAGACAGGGTGCATTCCTCACATGTTTATTTGAATCCTATTGATTGTGATGAGTTGTTGATAGAATAAGTTGCCAATAACAACATCAGAAGTAGTAAACGACTGAATAAGGTGTGCTTTCTCTGCGATGCGATTCGTAAAAATGCAGTTCACTTGATTTTGTTGCTTCTTGTTTCCACACCAGTAATTGTCTGTTGGGCATTATAGTACAAGGGACTGAAAAGACAAGCGATTATTCTTAATTTTAACTATTGTATGGTACATCAACATCTGTGGATGTTCTTCTTTCCAGGAACTCTGATTTGAGGCCCTTAAGGAAATTATGGCATCTTTAATATTGTGATTGTTAAACAGAGGAAATTAGAAAACTTTCAGATTGAAAAACTAAGTTTTCTCTTTGTGGCTATATTAAGGCAGCATTCATTTAGTGAGATTTAATTTGTCCTAAATTTCTGTATCTAATAGTGAACAAAATAAGAGAGAACTGAAAGGGGGGGGGAAGGGGGAAGTTGATTTGCAATGGGAAACAGTTTTTCTAACTTCTAGTTAAAGAATCCTGGAACTGCTATTGTAATTGTTGAAATAGTATGGAGATGCTGAAGTAAAAGTAGGGTTTGGGGTGTTTTTTGGTTCTTTTTTCCCCGTAAGAATTTAGGAATTTTCATGTCAGGCTAGTTTTACATCTGACACAAGCTCCTTTTCTTGTTCTGATTTGTTTCCCAGCTGAAGCAAGCTAGAAAATGCCTGCTATCAGTTGTCACCACTTGATAAGTGACAGGTGGTGACTTCTTAAGATGTGGTAATTATAATTGCTTGTGACTGTCTCCTCTCTGATGGCTGTCAGCAGGTAAGAGGTGTCCCTGCAGTAAACAGCTCTCACGGTCTGCCTGTAATGGAAGTTTGTGGCCATCTTGGGCTGTCAGGACTGTAAGTTGTCACCATTCAGGGTGCAATTCAGTTTCTAAGCTCCTGGATGTTGTAATTACTATTGTAAACATTCTTCTAATTTTGTTTCAACTCTGGAACTTAATCCTGTCCTGCAGCAATGATTATTACGGTTCTTTTTTGAGTTGCATTAAGGGAAGCTGGAAACAGGTGGAGGCTTCCCTACAACTATCTTTAAAGATATCCATAGTTGTAACGCCATCCACAGCACAGGACTTCATTGCTTAAAAAAAGCAAGCAGAGATGCTCCACTTGTTTCCTTCACATCATGGCTTACGTGGCTCTGTACTTGTCACCTCTGTTCAGTTGGTCTTTCCCAACTTCCCTGGTGGAGAAGTTTTCAGTGTCTTTTCCTCCTCTGTTTCCAACTGTCTATTTTTTGGCTGTTTATTTGTTTACCATGTTCAGCAAGGAGATGGAATGGATGGAAGAATAATCCAAATACATTGTTTGTGTGTGTTGTAGTAGGAAAAAATAATGGCATCCTCTCTAGTCTGGGAATAGCTTAGGTCTTATTCTAGAAAACTTTTTCACCAAGATTTGTAATCTGCGTGCAGTAGCAATTAGTAGAAGTTTTGGGTTTTTTTGTTTTTTTTACAGTAATTAATCAGCGTTTTGAGCAATTGCGGCAGGGAATCTTCTGTGTTAACTATCAAAAGATGAAGCATCCAGATGAACTCAGTTTTTCTTCTCATTTTCACAGAAGCAATCATGGGGTGCATTAAAAGCAAAGAAGATAAAGGTCCAGCCATGAAATACAGGACTGATAACACTCCAGAACCTATTAGTTCCCATGTCAGCCATTACGGGTCAGACTCCAGCCAAGCAACACAGTCACCGTCAATAAAGGGATCAGCAGTTAATTTTAACAGTCATTCTATGACTCCTTTTGGAGGGCCCTCGGGAATGACACCCTTTGGAGGAGCATCATCTTCATTTTCAGCTGTGCCAAGTCCATATCCTAGTACTTTAACAGGTGAGTATTACATAAAATTCTTCTTGTATTATTATTTATTGGTAAGCTTCATAGCCATATTTAAAAATAAGAAAATGAAAAGAATACTACTACCCCTTGCCACACAAGTGGAAATTTAAAATAAATTGCCTTTTAGGACTTTCTGATTTTCAGTATCTTTTCTGCTGACATAATAATTCAGCCCATACCAACTAGTGAATGGAGCTTTGGGGCTTTTTTTTTTTGCTGTTGTGGTTTTTAGGACCATAGCACAGAGGTGTTGGACATGTTAGAGGTGATAATGGGAGTAGATGTCAAAATTGTTATAAATTCTATGTTCTTGAAGGGATGTACATGGAATAATGGCTGTAACACAAATTCAGAAAACTCATAGTGTGATTTAATCTGAGTCTTTTTATTAGCTGTGAGTTATTTGCATTAAGGCAGTGTGGAATCTGTTCAATTACAAAGTCAATCAGGATATTCAGTATGTGCTGTGTACTTTAATATATGAACAGGATGTGTTAAATAAGAGCAGAATTCTCTCTGTTGATGGTCATATTAAAAGCTAAGTTGAAAAAAGTAGAATTTACAAGATGCAGAGAAAGTCTTGGCTGATGTGTAGACTCTGAAGATGCAGCATTTTAAAGCAATATACGTATTTGATGTCATAAATGTGCCTTTCTATAATTGCCTTAAAACTTAAAAAAAAAATAAAAAAAAAAAAATCAAAGATTGTTGTTGTGCACATGGCTGATCCCAGCAGTTCACTTAGTTTTGCTGGATCTTTTTGAGAGGAAACTGATTTTCTTTTATTTGGGAGGTTCAGAAGAGAGAACAGAAGCCTTGTACAGACACTTCACAAAATGTGGCAAATAATTCTGTTATCAGTCTCCTTCTAGTTTTCCCACAAAACTCTAGTGTTAGCACAGTTACACTGTTTAAATGTTTACTTCACTACAATGGCATTTAAAAGCTTTTCAACACAACAAATTTGAGGTCTATAAAAATCTGCTGTGGCCTTGACACTGAGAAATTCAGGAAAACAAACTGTCACGTACTGATTACCTCATGCTCCCTTTTTGGAAATTCAGTAAAAAACAAATAGTGAAAATGAGTGTCTATCCCAGCTCAAATTTGTAACCCCATCTGAAACCCAATATTGGATGAACACATGCAAAAGTGAAGTGATGGCAGCCTTTCTTTTTACTCACTAGCTCTACCAAGTAAAGTTTCGTGTGCTTACAGAAATCTTCATCTCATCTAAGAAACCTCTGTGTATTGCCTCTTGTAAGATTGGGTTCTTTGTTCAGGTGGGAATCACCTGCAGTACATTCAGGCCCTCATGGGTATTACCAGACACCAGGAATGCAGCCCCCAGCTACTGTAAATCCTTTTCTGCCACGATCAGAAGGGCTGATCACTTGCCAGTCTTTGTTCATCCTAGCCATTAAGAATATTGTATCTTGGCTCAGAGTCAATAAGAGAGATTTCTCGTGGAAAGATAGGTCTTGAATCTCGTAGGTGTGGATTTGGGCAGACTGACTTGCCCCCATCATTTTATGGTCAGGTAAAAAGATACTGCTTATATAATTATTCCTCCTTGCTTTGTAAGACCAGAAAGCCATTCGTCCTCAAACACACACATTTTTCTCTTTAAATAAAAATGTACCAACAGTTGTTCAATAAATCCACTTCTCATTTTCAGATCAATGAGGGTTGCTTGGTTTTTTTTGAACGGATTAAATGACAAACTTCATCTGGCTGTAAGCTTTCAGTGTTTGTCACAAGTAAACACTGAGTCAGGATCTGAGGCCCTTTGTTTTGCGAGACAAAATAAAAGAGATGGGCTTGTCAGCGATGTCTTACAAAAGGTTGTCATCTTAGCTCCTAGTAAAGATGAAAAAGAGTTGGGCCACCTTTAATCCTCTGGAGCAGAACTGGAAAAGAAATCCGAGTGAAATTCACTCTGCTCCTGTACTGTACATTCTTTTGTCATCAGACATTACAAATTCAGAGAATAGTAAGACACTTCACAAAATATGTGAGAACAGAAAGTTTGACTTATTTGAAGCTGTGTTTTCACTATTGCTCTCTAGTCCTCATACACAACAGCAAAGGAAAGCTCTCTCCAAAGCTGGTCCTTGATTAAAGAATGAAAATTCTGCCCTAATGAGAGAATCCCCTTCAAGGAGTAGTGTTTTGACCCCAGGTAGTTTTAACAACTAGATTGGTAATTCACACAAAAAAAAAAAAACATCCACAAAAGACTTCAAAAATCACTTGAGTTGTATCTCCTTGTTTAAAATATTCTATGCTGATGCTGTTCACCTAAAGTATTTTATTATTCTGTGCTACAGAATAAATAACACTTCTGCATGAGAATGATTTGTATGGTACCTGAAGTGCTGAAGTCAAAACTTCGGAAGTATTGTATACTAGCTTTATAAATTATTTCTTTAAAAATAGTAAACACTTACAATTAATGATAATTTTCTTATCTCATTACTTGCATCTGAATGCTTTGTTTCATTACTCTGATTAGTGCTATACTTCCAGTAGAAATGGATATTTCTCTTGTTTCTATATTAGTATCTTTCCAGATACTGTGCTGTTTGTTTTGAAGTTTTTGGAGTCTCCCAGCAGTTTGATAAAGATCTATAAGCTTTTGTAATGTTGTGACTTGAGAGTACCAATCTGCAGAAGAATTCTCAGGGGATGTTTTATTTCTTTAACATTCAGTTTCTGACTGTGTGAAAATGATACGTATTGCCACAATTTTCTTTCACTGAGTAACAGTTTGTCATCAAAATAATGCAGTAGTACAATAATGTGGGCAATAATTGGAAGAACTCTCGATTTTTAACTTAAGTACTCTTAACTTCTGGGATATGTTTTAACTAATTTTCAGTTTGTAAATCATACTTCAGTATAGATTATTATTATATATATAATATATATAATATATATATATAATATATATTATATATATATTATATATTATATATATTATATATTATATATATTATTTTTTGTTGTTGTTTTGATTTTCCTAGAGGAACTGTAGATTAATTGCCATTTATGGCCTACTGATACAGTGTGAGCACAGGAATCTCTATATCAAACAAAAATATTTAAATGAAAGCATCCATTTTCCAATAATACTGGATATAGACAATACTCATCATGTATTGTATTCCTCCTTTCTGATCATCCTCGCATTAGCTATATTGTCTAAGGTTAGACACAGTATGTTCCTGTGTGTCCTGCTACATACATATGTGTGTTAGAAATGTAATGTTACACTTAAATTAATTATTTTATTACTTGAATTATCATTAGACTTTCTAAATGCCCACTACACTGTAAAATAGCATTTTTGCTTCCTTTAGCCCAAGTTTATTAAGTAATCAGCTCTTTCAAGCATAGAAAATGTTTCTACAGTAAATGAAGGAGCCTGCCTGCTCGTACAGACTTGTCTTGTCCTTGGGTCACACTCAGTGCCCTGTGCCTGAAGTGGGGTAGGGGAAGCAAATTCCTTACAGTTGGTGGAGAACAGCTGCTTGTCCTGTGAAATACAAGAGCTGTTCTGAAAGCAGTGTCTCCTATTTTATGATGCTGGCCAACATCATCAGAGGTGGATGTTGATGGTATGGCAGTAGAGGTTGAATCTTCCCACCACCATTCCATTAGATGTTGTTGCCGCGTGCGGATGGCAGCAGAGGGGCAGTCTGACAGAATGGGGTCTGACATGGAAGTGTGTATGAAGCAAAGGTGTGGGATTGAATTCCTCTGTGCAAAAAAAAAAAAAAAAAAAAAAAGATACCTGCTGACATTCATCAACACTTGCTTAGCATTTATGGAGACCAACCAGTGAAGAGCACAGTGAGGCTGTGGATGGTGCATTTCAGCAGTGACAACAGCAAAATGAAAGACAACCCATGTTCGGGATGGCCATGCAGATTTTTTATGAGAATGGCATGCTGGCTTTTGTTTTTCACTGGTATGAACACACAGCTAATGGTGGCAACTTTTGAAAATAGTTTTGTAGTTGAGAATTTGCTCAAACAAATAGTGTTATTGTGCTCTTTGCATCTGTTGTCATTTCCATGAAAATAAATAGGAGACATTGCTTTCAGAACAACCTATAGAACTTAATCATTGTTTTATGGAAGAATGCACTGACTGATCTTCAGCAAATGTAGGCTTTAGTGATTTCTTCATTGAATTTCTTAAGAAGATTACTTTTTTTTTCTAATGTCAATGTGTTCTGCAAATGTCTCTCTGCAAGTGCTCTAATCATTAATGTACTTCTAATGGTATATCTAAATACTTTCTTTGCTGTGGAAATAATATACTTTTTAGCACTTTTTGCTTATAGACTTTCCTCAATTTTAAGGAATGAGCTGGTTATTGATCACAGCTGCCAGAATGAGATGGAACCCGAAGCCTTCAGTTGCTTCTGAATTAAAATTGACGAGTTGTTTTCACAGAGAAGTCCTTAATTCAAGTTCTGCAGCATTAATGCTATATCTTTTTGTTTTTACTTTCTTTTTCAAGGTGGTGTTACTGTATTTGTGGCCTTATATGATTATGAAGCTAGAACTACAGATGACCTTTCATTTAAGAAAGGTGAACGGTTCCAGATAATAAACAACACGTAAGTGTTCTCGTTCACAAACTTCTCTAGGGTGTTGTTGGGAATAAATAGATCCTCGGCACTTCTTGAAATTTAAGTGTCATGTTTCAGTAAAGAGTGATTGGAATTTTTTTCTTAAATGAGAGACTCAACACAGATGGGGGCTGAAATAGTGATACTGGTTAGATGATGCTTTTGGGCTGAGGTCATGTTTGGGGGCAGATGTCAAGATGTAGTGGCTGGGGAATCCCAAAGCTGCCTCCTTTCATTCCCTTCTACAGTGAAGCAGAGCAGAGGGGGAAAAGCACAGTCTATCAGGTTCTGTGTGTTATGGGCTTCCACATCCATCAGGGATGCATGTTTGATTTTCTAGTTTAATTGCAGCGCTATTCTGATCTTATAGCCTGGTTTATTGAAGCCTGGAAAAGAGGAAAGTGTTTTTTCACCTTGAAGACTTCTTAGCACAGCCAAAAGCTGATGTAAATACTCTAATACGTAGATGGAGCAGTTTTCACTCACCCAGTTCTCTAATTTTATTAGCTCACTTCCTGCTTTGTGTGTTGCTTACTGTCAGCATACAGGCAAAATGGTAGGACTGAGGTAGATTAAGACTAGAGAACTGGAAAGTCTGTTATACTTCTCTGCCATAAAATGTTTTGCTGCAAGTTTGCATTTTATATATAAAAA